GGCCCGAAGGGCCGGAGTTATACGGGAGTCCGGCCCGAAGGGCCGGAGTTATAAGGGAGTCCGGCCCGAAGGGCCGGAGTTATAAGGGAGTCCGGCCCGAAGGGCCGGAGTTATAAGGGAGTCCGGCCCGAAGGGCCGGAGTTATAAGGGAGTCCGGCCCCAAGGGCCGAAGTTATAAGCGATTTCGGCTAAGCCTCCCTCAAAAAATTGAAAATTCAATCTCAATTTTTTATTCCTGATTCCTAATTGAAATAATAATTTACAAATTTCGATATTTCAATGTAATTTAGAAAAATCTGACAACATTATTTTAATCAATCCCGCGCTTCCACGACAAAAATCTGTGCATCTGGGATATTCAGTGATACGAGCCCGAAGGGCCGGAATTTTATGCGAGCTTAAAGGGTTGGAGTTATACGCGAGCCCGAAGGGCCAGAGTAATTTTAATCTCGAGGCTCAGTCTATAATTCTATTGGTCAGCAGATAATTTGAAGCCAATTAAAAACCGGGATTATTTAAAATGCGATTTTTAGCGTCCAATCAAAGAGCCGAAAATATTCGAAAACTTTAGTTTTATCAAATTGACTTTAGAATGTTGGTTTTCTATGGGGTTTTTTTAAGATTTTCTTTTTTCAGAAAATGGTGGTTTTTGCAAACATATACTACTTTATCGTTGTCTTTGTCTTACTCACTATAATCAATAAGTAAACCTTATAATGTAATTTTCATTGAAATTAAACTAAAAACAAGTTTCCTATGATTTATTTGGGGAATTTTAATTGTCATAATCATTATTAATTAATTATTAAATTGAATTTTGAACAAAAAACCCTTTTAAAATGTTATTTTTGTTTTCCGAGATGTGATGTGGCAACGTTGCTTTTAGTTGGCCATTTTGAAGTTACGTCTTTTGATTTTTTGCCAGTTTTTTCTCGAGTTTTCGACTTTTCCAGGGTTTTTTAATGGAAAAAAGCGATTTAACATACGAGGTTTTGAGCTTTCTTCATTTTTTAGTACAAATTTCTAGTTTCAAATGCCATAATTAGCAGAATCGCATTTAAAATGCTTTTGATGTGGCAACATCGCTTGTGGCTAACTTCAATCAAGGAAGCATTTTTGACAGTCGGCCATTTTCAATTGACGTGTTTACATTTTTATTCAGTTTTTCTTCGAATGTTTCACTTTTTCGGGGCTTTCTCAGTCGGGAAAACTGATTCAAAGTAGGTACAAGGCTTTAAATTTTCTTCATTTTCCACCAAAAATTTCCAGTTTTTCAACGGGGTAAGTTAAAAAAACTTTAGTTTCATCAAGTAGGTTTTGGGATGTCATTTTCGTTGTTTTTTTTTTGGGGATTTTTATTTAGGGTTTTTGGGGTCCAGGGATCATCGTTTTCCACCACTTTTTTTCTTAAAATTCGCAAAATAAAAACGTTGACAGCTGTCAAATTTTTTTGACACAAATCGATAGTTAGCATCGTGAAACTGCCTTGTAGCGGGGTTTGATTTTCGTAGCTTTTATAGTAGAGCGGAGAAAAAGTCGAACATGTGTCAAATTTGACAGGTGACATGTGTCGATATCGACAAAAGTTTTTTCCGTTCATTGTCAACTGATTTTAATACTCCGGCCCTTCGGGCCGTAATCTTTGAAACAAAAAGACCTCATTTTGTATCGATTGTCAAAAAAACCAAAGTCTACTTTGAAATTTCAATTTTTTGACGTTTGTTGTATCATAAGCAGTGTTGCCATATGTTTTTTTCAAATCTCGAGCTCGAAGGGCCAGAGTTATACGAGCCCGACAGGCCGGAGTTATTTTAATCATGAGTCGAGGTCCGAGGTCATACGAGCCCGAAGAAGAGCCGGAGTTATACGAAACCGTTTATTGTCAACTGATTTTAATACTTTGGCTCTTCGGATCGTAATCTTTGAAGCAAAAAGACGCCATTTTATATCGACTGTCAAAAAACCCAAGGCCTACTTTTAAATTTTAATTTTTCGACGTTTGTTGTATCATGAGCAACGTTGCCATATCGTCGTTAATTTTGCTAATGGGACGTATATTGAATTTCTTAAATTTTACAAGCGTACCTATATGATATACGCCTTTTAGGAAGATGCCTATTTCTTGTTTCAAAACATACGTCTTAAAGAAAAATGTGTATAACCCAGAAACTACTGGCAGATTATATGCACCAATAAGAGGGCGTATATAAATTTGCTGTTTTGCAACATAAATTCCCTGAAAACGAAAAATTGCCTATTTCTTATATACGTCCTTTTGTCAAATTAACGACAATATGTTTTTATCAAATCTCGATTTATAGGTTATTTTGAACCCAATCAAAAGCCGGGAATATTCAAAATTTAAAGCCAATCAAAAGCCGTGAATATTCAAAATGTGATTTTTAGTCGATATTCCGAGTCTCAGTTCTCTCCGATGTACCGGATTATTGAGGGCATGGGCACCCCAAAACAAATTTTGCCCGCTGTGCAGTGATCACCTTACCGTAATGCATTATTTTCCAGCCTCCTCACTTGAAATAGTCACGAGCCGCCACTGAGCGAAGCGAAGCTTTAATAAAAGCTCTAAAAATCGGAACGGTTTACAAGATATTCAATGCAAGAAGAGAAGCAGCCAATGAGAAAAATTTTTGGAGACTCAAATGAAGGGGAACTGCTCGTAGCACCAGAATCAAACAAGGGAACTTGAAATTGGGCACAAGAGATGCAAGATGTTAACTCCGCGGAAAAAGAGGACATTTTTTACCGATAGAGTACGGCTGAGATTTGACGTTCCTACTGGAGATTTTTAGCCTTCAATGGAAAAGATGCTACAGTACGATTTTCAAATCAAATATTGTAAAGTACATAACAATGTGAACCTATACCGGGTGTTTTTCAAAAGCCGCTCACCCCTATAACTTTTTTATTTTTAAAAATAAACAAATGAAATTTGGTATGCTTATTTGTGACCCGAAAGTGCATGATTTGACGTATTCAATTATTTTTTATCACTTCCGGTTTTACCGGAAGTGACCCTTACTTTCTTATTTTAAATGAGACGCCAGGTATATTTTCCCTTATTTCGATAGAAAACTACATTACGAGTACAATGACACCTCATTTGTCACTTTTTGACATTTCATCTCCAAATTATTTAAATTTTTACTTTTTAATCTAGAGCGCCAGGAATTAGTTAAAATGCTTAATTTGGTTCCAAGAAACCTGGGAACATTTGTTTTGATCTCATTTTGTTTTTTATATCCTCGACAGACACATTTAAAGATAGTAGAAGCGCATTTTTGGAATTATATCCATTTTTTCAAATGGAAAGGGTATGGCTCATTAGCATATTCCGAGAGAGCATTTTCTAACGAACAATTTAGTACCACACAATCGCTAGTTTATTCAAATATTGAACTAAAATTTTCCAAAAATATTTAGAATGCTAGGAAAATTCTTCATTTGAGTGATGAAGTAGCGATTGTGTAGTACTGAATTACTCGTTAGAAAACGCTCTTTTGAAATATTGTAATGAGCCACACCCTTTCCGTTTGAAAAAATTGAGATAATTACCAAAATGCACTTCTACTATTTTTTAATGAGTCTGTAGAGGATATAAAATACAAAATAAGATCAAAACAAATTTTCCCAGGTTCCTTGGAGCAAAATTAAGCATTTTAACTAATTCATGGCACTCTAGATTAAAAAGTAAAAATTTGAATAATTTGAAGATGATATGTCAAAAAGTGACAAATGAGGTGTCAAGGTACCCGTAATGTAGTTTTCCATTGAAATGAGGAAAAATATATCTGGCGTCTCATTTAAAATAAGAAAGTTAGGGTCACTTCCGGTCAAACCGGAAGTGATAAAAAATAATTGAATACGTCAAATAATGCACTTTCGGGACATAAATAAGCATACCAAATTTCATTTGTTTATTTTTAAAAATAAAAAACTTATAGGGGTGAGCGGCTTTTGAAAAACACCCGGTATATCTCATTCAAGCGTCTATGTCCAGCTCTAGGCAAGCACTGGCTCAAATTTGATTAGCTTGCCTGTTAGAAGTCTTCGATTTGGAAGATGGCGACATCAAACCATAAACCATTTTTGAACCTGAACCAAACTGGCAATAACGCGCCAATAAACTGGAAAAAAAAAAAAACTGAGAATAAGTAGATTGGGTGGGATACGACTGTTGATCTAATCTAGAAGGACAACATTAGTCCTTCGTGCGGAGACGCCGACGCGCTCTTCTGTTCAAGACTGCCGAGCTAGAGTATTCGGGAAATCGGGAATCTCGTTGTTTGATTCAAAAACAAGCATTAACTTTCTACAGATTTCTCGACTAAAAATGTTTTTGTATGTGTAGAGCGCGTGTGGTCTAGAGTCGGTTTAAATAAGAGAATTTTTCATAAAGTTAAGTAAAATCGTTAAGTACCTAATTAGTAAATTTCGTAGTCAATATCTTCATTAGAAGGTGTTGTTATTAGTGAAGACTTGCGGAATGCGTGACACTTTGGTGAATGAATTTAAAAACTGTCAATATTTTTTTATGCAACTTTTCATACTATCTCCATTACCTGTGACAATGCTAAGATTCTTGGTAGATGGTCGATTAGAGAGCTATTAAATAGATAATAATCAATTTTTATCATTTATGTTATTCTATATATTTTTTTTATTTTATTTTCCATAGCTTTATATTGGTCTGGTAGGTACCTATACTTGAATTGTATTGTTTTTTTTTTTTTAAATCTACTTTGGAATATTTTCCAAGTCGAGTTTGGCGTTCTGGACATTCGAAGAATTATAATTTTTTATGTATAAGGCATAAAAGCTGAATAAATAAAACAAAAAATAAATCTATTTAAATAAACTTTATTACACTCTATAACAAAAACTTAAATGGTAATATTTACACATTATAATAACAAATACACATGCACACGACTTATTTACAAAAAAGTATTTAAATAATCACAATAAACAAAGAGAGGTAACTATAGTTAAGAAGGTACAGAAGGAGTTAAATGGAACTTGGAAGGAATCAGTGAAATTAAATTCTAAAATTATCAATGGTAAAGGAAAATTAAATAAAAATATTTCTAGAAATAACCTTTACAAGTAATTGGGAAGTACAGATTTAGGCATAGGTATGAGAAGTATAGAAAGATGTGAAAAAAAAAAGGGATGACCAAGAATTCAAAAAAAGTAAGCTTGGGAATAGAAACTTAGGAGGTGCACAAGTGAAGAAGAAGTATATAGGAGAATATAGAGAGATTAAATGAATATTATCTATGAGTGAATGATGATGAAAATAAAAATTAATAGGATAACAAAGAAAAAAAGAGAAATAGGAGAATAAATGAAGAAACAATAACAAAAAACTTATAAAATTCGGTTTACATAATTCTTCTAAGAGTTCAAGCTAAAAGGTATAGGTAATCTGGCAACATTTTATTACAATAATTAGACTTTTGAAGTTTCGTTTGGGCTGAGGATTTTTAATGATATCAATTTCGAGGCTGATGATATGAGGAGGTTTATTTTCGGTCCCAACCGCCTCCGTGACCTCCGCCACCGCCATATCCTCCGCCGCCGCCACCGCCGCCACCACCTCCGTGGCCGCCACCTCCGCCGAAACCTGCAAAAGAATAAGGAATAAATATAACAAATTTGCACTCTGAGATTGGGCTCAAGGGGTTTCTAATTTGTTCTAACTTTTTGACAGGATTGAAGCAATCCTCTACAAACACATTTAACGGATTTTTTTGGAAAACAGTTAGACATTGTACAGAGTTTATTTTCAATTTATCTTTGACGTTATTTTATTATTTATTAATTTAGCTGTTTTGCTTGAATTCGGAAGAAACCGAACTGGTATGTGCCCAGCAGTTTTTGAAGTACCCGTTTCAGTACAATCTTGATGCATCTTGTATGTAATTTAAAATGTAATCGATTTCAATTTTGTTAAAGAAACATTAGGCATTAGACTGTATGTTTACCTCCTCCTCCGCCGCCGCCGCCGCCATATCCACCTCCTCCGCCTCCGTGGTGGTCATCGTGGCCGCCGCCAAATCCTCCACCTGCAAAAATAAATTTGGATTGTCAATTTGAAAACTCTTCTAACTCCTATTATCTCACAAATAGAATGTTTTAGGCAATAACCCCAAAGAACGTCAACTAAAATTTAAAGGGGGATGCCTTCTTATGCAAGAAAATATTTGATTTTAGTTGATAAATAATAAATCACTCACAATAATAAGTGAGTTCAAACCATCAACCTGAATGGTATGATGAGGGCTAGAAGACCTTTTTTTATGATATTGGGATATCAGATCTAAGAATTTAAACTTTTGAGGTACCTACAACCCACCCGAGGGGTTGAATCATAGGTTTTTTTTGAAGGTCTGGCTGCCTCATTATACTCGATAGGTTTGAGGTTGCGATCTTCTGTTATTAATTATTTATTCAGTGATTTCAAATAAGGGCCGAGGCATCTTCAAGATGTATCACGTACGTGCTACAGATTATCTTTTATAATGCTATATTATTATATCGAATTTATCATTCTTTTAGGTAGAGGATCCTTTAAAATCAAACCTCATTATTTACCTCCTCCAAATCCTCCTCCGCCGCCGCCGCCTCCGTAACCACCTCCACTACCTCCGTGATGATCGTCATGGCCACCTCCAAATCCTCCACCTACAATTATTTTCTGTTTTATTGTTGTTTCGCTAAGATTTTGCTAAGATTGAACATTAACCATTTATTTTTGTAGTCTGTCAAAGCTAGCAAAAATTAAACTTTGTATGATATCACCTCTTACATTTCAATTTATCAATTAAACACTTCGCAAACTCTAAATAAATATTTCAAACGACACAAACACTGAATTTATTCATCCAGCCAAAATTTCAGACTACGTTTGGAAAATTAAACATAAATTTACCTCCTCCAAATCCTCCGCCTCCGCCGCCTCCATATCCACCGCCACCACCTCCGTGGTGATCGCCATGGCCACCTCCGAATCCTCCACCTGTAATTATGAATTTTGCATTTCAAATTTTAGCAATCGTTTCCCTACATATTATTGTTTTGCTCGGTACTTTAGCAGCATTATTTTCTGTTGTGATATTCGTTTAGTTTAGAGGAGTTCAAGAGTTTGTTCAAATCCTAAACCAGGTACACAGAAATATAAAGATAAAAAAATAATCCACTATATTGAGGAACTAGTCCCTGAATAACGAGTCCTAATATGACTTTGGTAGTGTGCAAATCATTATATGTATGTATGAAATTACCTCCAAATCCTCCGCCACCGCCTCCTCCGTATCCTCCTCCACCACCTCCGTGGTGATCATCATGGCCACCTCCAAAACCTCCACCTACAATAAATAAATATTTTTTAATAGTTGAAGGGACTAGCTGCCGTTTAATTTAAAACTAGCTTAACCATTATTTTGAGTTTGTTTGGTAGAATCAACATTGAGAAACAGAAAATAGTGTATGTTGCAACTAACATTTCCTAGGATGAAAGAGTGTGTCAACTATTATGAGAATAGGTCCGAAGTTGAATAAGAATGGGAAGAAGACAAAGAAAGTTCTTGAATCTTTCTATCCCATCAATGGGGAGGGGATAAATTGATGAAACCCAATAATAACATCTGAGATATGTAATGAGATAAATACACAAATACAAACAATAACATCGAATATTGGAGAAGAGCCAACACAACCCTGGACAAAGATAATGGACATTGCAACAAATTCAATGCAAAACAGATTAGGATATAAGGCAAAGAACAAGAAACAAAAATGGATGACATGAGATTTTGTTCATAAGATCAAAGATTAGAATAGCAAAGAACGAATGGCTTAAACGTGAATGCTCAGAGATAGAGCAGCTGCAAAATCACCAAGATGTCTTTAACCTGTACAAAAAACTGAAGGAGACTGCCGGTATATATATAAAAAAATGAGACCAACTATAATGGTAAATAATAACAATCAGATAGTCCTCTACAGCAAACGGAAGAACAATGTCTGAGAACGGTATATTGAAGCACTTTTTGACGACAATAGATCCGCAGCTGGTATCAATAACTCTCTAACTGGCCCATCGATCACTAAGGATGAAATTGAAAGTGCCATACGTAATTCAAAAAATAATGATGCGGCTGGCCCAGATGAAATCCCTTCAGAAATACTTAAACTCCTAGATGAAAGAGGCATCACAGCACTACATACATTATTTGAATCTACTTATTACAGGTCACTATCCCAAACAGTAGCTTGATATAGACCAGAAAGACATCAAATGCATTGAAAACCTATACTGGAACCAAACAGCGCAAATCAAATTAGGCAATAATATGTCCAACACCATACAAGAGGGGTGCGACAGGGATGTGTGCTGTCTCCGCTCCTGTTCAACTTAGGATAGCGATTTTCCAGGAGGCTTTGGAAGACGTGGAAATGGGAGTCAAAGTTAATGGAGTGTGGATTAACAATATTCGCTATGCTGATGATACGGTCTCAATTGCTGATAACATACACGAACTACAACAACTAGTAAACAAGGTAGGAGAACAGAGCAAATCAATGGAATGGGCTTAAATATCAACACCAAAAAAACAAAGTTTATCATTATCTCTAGAAACATAAATACCTATGTTCGAAAACTCCACCCACGCAAGGCACATAGAGAGAGTAGATAAATTTAAGTACTTGGGCGTCTGGCTTTTCGAAAACTTGACATCAGGACATAAAATGTCGCATTGAACAAGCTCGACAGGCATTCTCGAGGTTCCGAAGAGTGCTTACCTGTTCCGACTTTGACCTTAACGTAAGACTCAGTTTTATTGAATGCTACGTTTTGTCTTCTATACGGTATGGAAGGTTGGACATTAAAGATGACTGCAATTAACAAATTAGAGGCCTCTCGAGATGTGGCTGTATTGCAGAATCCTTAAGATACTTTGGACGGCTAGACTAACAAACGAAGAAGTCCTAAGATGTGTCAACAAATAATGCGAACTGTTTGAATTAATTGAAAAGAGAAAAACGGCATATCTGGGACATATAATGCGACACACGAAATACGAATTCTTGCACCTGTTGATCGAAGGCAAGATCGTAGGCCAGAGAGGGATTGGAAGAAAGAAAATGTCTTGGCTGCGAAATTGCGAAATATCAGACAGTGGACAGGGCTACACGATGTGCAGTCGTTAATACACACCGCAAGGAATAGAGAAGCAATGGAAAATGTTATCGCAAATATCCATTAGTTGATACGCATTGGAAGAAGGAGAAGATCGATAAAATTTGGTTTTGAAAGTGGAAAACGATGCCGAGGACTTGCCTGGTCTTCTTCCGATATCTATTTGATGAATGAAAACTTCCAAAATAGAATTTAGCTCATTAAAGACCTACTTTTGTCAATAGGGCAAAGGTAGGTATTTTATCAGGATTAATATTTTCCTTAGTGATAATAATTCTTTTAGTTCAGAGAAGTTGAAGAGTTTGTTTCAATCTTGACTTTTGTTTAATAAAAAATTTGATATTATGAACATATCCAATATGTTGTTATCGTTGTTTTGCATTTTAATGGCAACTGAAATAGGAATTCTTAACATATATGTTCATAAATGTTTGTTTTGCTAGTTATATTACCTCCTCCGTGGCCTCCGCCACCTCCTCCTCCTCCTCCGCCACCACCACCGTGATGGTCATCGTGGCCTCCTCCAAATCCACCTGGAAATTCAAAATAAACATATTAATTACAGAAAAGTGCAGTTTAAATTGTTCAAAAGTAGGTAGTTTCACTCCACTAATTGCAAATTTTTGCCCAAATTAGGTACCTACAGAGAAATATTAGGATGAAAAACTAATCCATTATAATAAGGAACTAGTCCCCGAATATAAAATTACGGTATATACATTATATGAAATTACCTCCAAATCCTCCTCCTCCGCCGCCGCCTCCTCCGTATCCTCCTCCACCACCTCCGTGATGATCGTCATGACCGCCTCCGAAACCTCCACCTACAAAAAAATAAATATCTTTTATTAGTTGAAGTTATTGATTAAGGTCTGGGCTCGCCGCCCTTTAATGTATTATCAGGATCAATTTAAATGGAGAAACACAAAATAGTCTATGTTGCAGCTAACATTTCCAATGATAAAATAGTATGTCAGTTAATGATAGCTCGAGAAAGGATAAGTTGAATAAAAATAAAAAGTTCTGAAATCTTTTTATTGCATCAATGATGATAAAATTTTAGTTAAAAAAAGGTCGATAAAATTTGAGTATGGAAGTGGAAAACGATGCCTTTTTATGATAACCACCCTCGATAATGGACTGATTAGGGACCGAAACACCGTGTCTTCAGATAGTGGAAGTGCAAAATTGCAGTTTTACTTGATATTGATAGGATTTGCCTCGTTTTTTGCCGATAGCTGTTTGATAGATGCAAACTACCCAAATATAATGTAGTTCAATAAAGGCCTACTTTTGTCCAGAGACTATAGTTAAAATATGAGGTGAATAAAAACGGAGGATCACTTTTCGGCGGCTTACTTTCAAGTGAAGTATCTACCTACTTATTTGCTCCTCCACATAATAGTTTACTTGTTTTTTGGAGAGTTCTCTGGAAAGTGTGCATCTATTCGTTTTTCAATCACTTCTTTAGAGTAAATTAATACTTTATTCTTCTTCTTTAACCCTGTAGTAACCCGCTCCTGGATTTAGGTACATAGTCCTCTTCCGAAATGTTTCCAATCCGATCTTCTAAGTCTCCCTCGGGAGCCAAATCAAAACCATCTGTGTCCACCTGTGTGAAAATATGGCTAGCCCATCGTCACTTCAGTTCTGTCACAACCTTCAGCACATCTGTCGCCCCAATCTTCTCGCAAATCACTTTATTCCGAAGTTTTTCCCTGAAAGTAATTCCAAGCAGGGCCCGCTCAATTGCTCGGTGTGTAGTTTATTGGCCGATTTTCAGTAATCGACATTGTCTCGTCCATCTGTGAGCACTGCGCATTGGCAGCATGTAGGACTGGAATATTTTCGTGTTAAGTTTCCGGATTCAAGAATTAATCCTGGACTGTCAATAGGTGCCCAAGAGAGGCCTGTATTCTCCTCGAGATCTCGGAAAATGCGTTCCTTTATCGAGCTAAATTTATGTCCTTGATAAATGTACATATTCAGGAATATTTTCTTAGAGTTGATCGCTAATAATTACCTGGACGTTCGCTATGTTCATGATATATCTTTTTGTGGAGTTCATTTCAACTCCAATTTGCAGTGATGTACGGTGAAGTTCTTGAGCTTGTTTTTGATCCCTTCACATGAAGGGATCTGGCAAAGATTAAAATGTCATTTAGTGATTTAGACGCACTTCGTCAATATTGATCCCGTTATTTTACCAGAGCCTAACTTTTTGAAGGTATCCTTCAAGGGTAGTTTAAATGATTTTGGTAAGATTGTGTCCTCTTGTCTTACTGATCTTTAGATAGGGACCTCTCAAGTTTTCAAATCCTCATCCAGTTTCACTTGTATATGTGAAATTAGTATCCTCATGTTTTCTAATGATCGCAGTATATGATAATGATATATTTTATTATATACTTTTTCCAGTAAGAGTACGAAGGGTATGCAACAGGTGCCGTATATCTTCTACCGAATTCCGCTCATTCAACTGGTTGGTAGAAGTCTATTTTGTTGCTCGACCGGCTCGTTATTATATTTGTTAACAGCTTATAGAAATCTGATAACAAGCTGATAGAACAATAGTTTTCCTATATGTCGTGTTCTTTTCCTTTTTTGTATCTTAGGATAACTCCTGCATTTTGCCACTTATTTCTTGCATTCCATTACCACTTATTTAGCTATGTTCGCGCAGCATTAAACAGTACGTCACCTCCCATTTCAAACATTTTGCTAGTAGTTTGATCTTCACTTTAACTTTTTCTACTTTGCATTTGATGTAGGTATGCATTGCTACTTTCAGTTCTCTAGTATCAATTTCTGAAACTTCTTCTAATCCTACTTTTTGTATTTTTCTTGTTTGGTACTGATTTTATCTTGGACATTATGGATTCAGCACAGGTTACCGTCTGAACTGACAATGTACAGGGTGTTTGAAATTTGAGACACATCATTGGGATCTCGGAAACGGTGAGAGATACATGGTTGGTTAAGTTAGAGCCAAGTTGCGTAATTTTATGCTCAACAAAATGCCGCTTTGATATTTAGGATATTCCGAATACTTCTGGAGATATCCGGAAAGAACCGAAATTTCACAAAATGTTTTTTTTTTCCTGGCTCTATCTGAAGTGATATTTCAAAAAAAAAAACACTAATCCATCATAGCTTCTTTTTCTTCCCTACATGATGCTACCATCAAATTTGAAATCTGATGTTTCGTCCTTGATGGGCATTCATCATCAACTTTATTATATATTTTTTTTAAATACGACGCTGGATTTTTTATTTCGGATTTTTAGAGCTTTTGATGTCCCAAAATCTATGAGGCATCGCATTTATTCGTTTTTTTTTTTAAGTTTTTAGTAATTTCCTATCAAAATTCTCTTCTCTGTCTCTCTTAAACACATTGGGTTATTATGGAAAGTGCGAATAATAGAAATTTTTCGAATAAGTGCAATACCTCATTGGTTTTGGGACATCAGAAGCTCTAAAAATCTGAAATAAAAAATCCAGGGTCGTATTAAAAAAAAATAAGTTGATGATGGTGGCCCAAATATGAAACGTCAGATTTTAAATTTGATGGTAGCATTTTGTAGGGGAGAAGAAAAGACTATGCTATGATGAAGTGGCATGTTTTTTTAAATATCATCTTAAATAGTCAAGAAAAAATAAAAACAATTTTGCAAATTTTCGGTTTATTCCGGATATCTTTGGAAGTATTCGGAATATCCTAAACATCAAAGCGGCATTTTATATGCAACTTTGCCCCAATTTAACCAGCCCTATATCTCTTACCGTTTCCGAGATCCCAATGATGTGGCTCGAATTTGAAGCACCCTGTAGAACGAGCTCTTATAGCCGTTATTTACTTATGAGCGCCAGTTCTATGTATTTTCATTATTGAACTATCAAAAAGTAATAACTTTTGTTGGAGAAACGCGAATACTTGGTTTTATTCATTGAATAGTCGTAAAAACTCATTTACTATCCTAAAGATAGGAAGATCTTGTTTTTGAAAAAGCAAACTTTTCGGCTAGTAATTGATTGATTTTGATCAAGATTTCTTCCGTGGCTTTTTTTGACGATGCGAATAGTTTAGGTATTAATAGTGGTATTTTATCCCGATCTGATCTACTAAGTTAATCTGGTCTATCTTTGTTGAGTTAAATTACCTCCTCCGTAGCCTCCTCCTCCTCCTCCACCGCCACCACCTCCATGATGGTCATCGTGGCCACCTGAAATTTAAAATTTATTATTTTCACGTATTTTGTTGTCATAAGTATACTTTTCGAAAAAATGTTGTGGAGTAGATTTTTAAAACGAAAAGAAAGCTATCTTCTAGACTATCATTTATTGGTGCGAAATAATGAATTATGCTCACTTACGAGTATATTCATTTTGGGTATATTTTCAAGAATCAATCAATATTTCTTGGATACCAAGCCCATATAATAAAATAATTTTCCTGAATTAATTAATTTGCGAAATGGCGTCATATTAATATAGGATATAGAAATATACAAACCTCCTCCACCGAAACCACCGCCGCCTCCATAGCCACCGCCGCCTCCATGGCCACCTGGAAAGAAATTATCACAAAAATGAATTAGTAGTTTCATGTCAAGTCGTTCATTATATAATATAAAATTCAATAAAGAAGATCACTTATTCGAATAGGCCACAGATCAACTTAAAAAAAAAAAACAAGAAGAAATGTTACTCCAGCAGTTAGAAATAAAAGAGCTTATAGATGAAGATGGATAAAGGCCACCAAAGCTTCCATGAGGAGGACAGGAAAATAGCGAACGGAAATAAAATAACAAAAACACAAATCATGAAGAACATATTATATTAGGTACCTATAACTCTAAAATACCACACAAAAAACAATCATTGATAAAATATCCATTGGAACCAGAAGAAATTACAGAAATGGAAGAAAAAATCCTGCTACCCCTTCACTTCATGTAGCATAAAAATGCACCAGGAAACGATAAAAATTGAAATTGAAATATTTGAGGAGTCAATCATCTTTTCAATGCGTGTCTAGATCAACAACGCATCATCCAAAACATGATCCACTTAGAACAGAACATTTCTAAAGAACTACCCTCCTCAGCTTGTTGCCCTAAGTTTTTAGGTTACGAGAAAGTAATAGGGTTAAGAGACTCACTCATTACCAACCTGTAGAGGAAGCAGGAAACTAGACTCGGACCAGGATTTAGCCCATGTGATCATTTTAACGACAAACATTCCTATAAAAAAAACCTTAAATTTTTCAGCTTACATTGATTTTGTGGATTATGAGAAAGCTTCTGGCTCTATAGGACACTGGATAAAAAGGGACGACATACACTAAAAGAATCTGGCCAGGAGATACGATCTTGATGCAAAAACTAGAAGGAAAGTTATCTGGACAAATAATGGTCGCTACCGTCAACGGTGAAAAACTGTCGCTTTCAAAATAACCCTAGAGATAAAACGACCGAAAGATCGGAAGCGAATAGAGCGATGTATGCAATATAAAGTGAACGAACTATGAAGAAGAGAAGAATTCGAGCTCATTTTGATAGATTGACACATATTATAGCGAAGAACGAAAATACCATCTAAAGAAATGAGTATAGGATCAACGCGTGCCATAACAAAAATCTTAAACTGGATAGTAACAGAAAAATCTATAATTGGTATTTAACAAAAAGGTAAGGAAAGAAACGGAAACATAGGATTATGCTGAGGACATTGGCACGAATATTTGCCATCTGCAATTGGGATGACAAGGCGTTGAGATGAATAATATGAGGATCGTGGAAGAAATGAACAAAGCCATCGTTGATATGATGATTTCAAACAAATGAGTCAAATTGCAGAAATATTGAGAAACGTAATCATTTGACATGTATTTTTTGTGAACCTTACCTCCACTAGGTAACGGATCTCCGCCACTTAAATGAACAATTTTAACACCTCCTCCGCCGCCTCCGCCGCCTCCGTAGCCACCTCCGCCACCCTGCCATCCTCCACCGCTTGATTGCCATCCGCCACCACTTGATTGCCATCCACCGCCGCCGCCGCCGCCTCCCTGCCAACCGCCATGGCCTCCGCCACCTCCGTAGCCTCCTCCGCCACTTCCGTGGTCTTTTATCGCGATCGTATACGATGCGCCACCGCCTCCGTGGCCGCCACCACCACCGCCTCCATAGCCACCTGAAGGAAAATATATACATGAGCTGGATGAACAAACTTGAAGTCGATGTCAGAATAAGTTTTAGTTTGACATGAAAGAAACAAAAAGCATTGCAGGAGCAGTAATGAACTGATGGTCAATAATTGAAATTGCAAGAAGTTGCATGAAAGTTTTCGTTCAAAAATGGCACAATAAAGTATGCTTGAAGAGAAGTGTAAATAAATTTCCCTATTAAAATTCCCCCTTTCTGAAAGAATCTTAAGCGTTACACGTCCGACTTTCAATAAGAACTTTACACTTCAAAACATATTAGGTATAAAAAAAAGTTTGCGTGGGAAGTATGCAAGATGGCAGCGAAAAAATCGCGTAGCCTGTTATTGTCGCAAATAAAAAAGTGAGGCATGAGAGTGGAGAATGAAAGTGTTAGGAAGAGACGAGAGACCCTTTCTCATTATTCCATTTCACATAGGTGAGTAAGTGATATTGTACATACAACAAAGATATGTAAAGATTGCTTACCTCCTCCGCCATAGCCGCCTCCGCCTCCGCCTCCGCCGCCGCCATGATGGTCATCAAATCCGCCACCACCGCCAAATCCACCTAAAAATATGTATGTTTATGGGCCGAATTTATCACTACTTGAGGTTTCCTCACACCTCAAAGAAGCCTTGAACGTTTAGATTTGACATGACCAACTTGTCAATTAGTGGCAAGTGTAGGTACAAAAAACGACTATAAAGCGGTCCTAAGTAATGTTTGGATGTTACTAGAGTTTTATCTATTCATCTACCTATACGTCATCTACATAATCATGGTGGCACGAGGACTTGCGGGCCGAAAAGTAGATTCTTTGCGGCCCGGTCGAACAAAAAATTATTTGAAAACTAACCACA